GTGTATCTGCTGGGGTACCATACAACGTCTTAAACCTTGGCATCCAATTGGAACCATTGCCCTCATTTTCTGTTCAGCATTGATTTTTAAAATGTGCATGGCTTTTTTTCCCTTTTAAATCACAGAGGCCCAGTTTTGCAGCTATATGATGACATCAAAAGGGATGTAGAAACCATCTTACCCTTTATTGACCTAATGGTGCACATATTGTTTGCTCAATGTAAAAAATATGTGCTGATGTAGAAACTTTAAAATGTCTTAAGAGTTTAAAGCAGTGATGGGATTCAACAGGTGCGCACCAGTTCGGCAGAATCAGTACCTATTTTTGGTTGAGTTCAGCAAACTGGTTGTTATAATGGCATTTGTAATCAGGGTTCTTTCTAAGGTAGGAGGTCAGTGGCCCATTGTGGAAATCACAAATTGACATTCCTTACCTTTTTTTTTTTAGACATTCATCAGTTTTAAACATATCAGTGTTCTGATAATCATGTTGAAATAATTAACTACTTTTTGATATTTCGGTTTTTATACTTAAAATGGTCTTAGGGCAGCAAACTACTTGTTAAACTCTGAATCCCACCATTGGTTTCTAGTGTTTGCATTTAGAACCTTATTTGGTAACTACTATCTATTGAAGAATTATTGGAAAACTATAAATGCAATTCTACTTGGAATCTAAGAATATTTAAAATCTCAGTTTCTGTAGACTTCAAGTAAGTTGTCCTCTTTACTTTGGGTGTCTAGTGTGTAAAATGCAATACGTTGTAAAAAGCAGAATAAAGCAACAAAAATTACAGCCTTTTTTAAAGTGAATTTTTGGTGTAAGAAAAAGATTTTTGTTTTTCTTTTATACTTTCTGGAGAAAGGCACTATTTAAAAACTGGCTATTTGATAAAGGGGATGGGAAAACAACTAACATATGGACAAGTGGAATTTTTGTAACGTGGGACAAGTGGAATTTTTGTAACGTACTGCCCACAACAGTGCCATATTTAAGCCTTTTACTTAAGTGATTTTATCAACAGTAAACGTGTTCTGAACACTTGAAGGAAGGTATGTAAATGAGTACTTCATGGTCATAATTGGTAGGCATATAATTTGATCTGAACTATGTAATGGGAAAGACATATTATTATCATTCTTTCAAAGGCTTTGTAAAAGTATGCTGTACAAGAGTATTTTTCAGCAAATGTGGGAATAAGACAAAATGAACCAAATATGTAGACATTTTGTTTTCTTTATTTCTCATTTAAAAGTTCTGTTTCGTCCTGATGTATGAGGTTACAACTCGATCCTTTAAAAATAAACTGAGATCTAATGATACAGGATTTGTGTAATTTACACAAATCTTAAATTTCAGTTACAAAGGAAAGAAGCCACAAAATAAGCACATTTGTATCAAAGAGGTGTTTTTTTCCTTTTAAATGACTTGTTAATATTCGATTTGACACATCTGCATTGATAGAGTAGTTGCTTTCATACCAAATTATCTGAATTTATTGCAGAGCATCAACACAAAAAATACACTATAAGTGATCTATGTTTGTTCATGTATATGTTACTCAGTTTTGCTGTCAAAACATCCACATGTTTAGGGTTCCAACCAGAGGTTTAGATGTTGTTGTTGCTATGAACAATTTTCATATTCTTTAACAGTTGAAAAGAAGCCGATAATCATTTAACGCTTTTTATCTAGCGTTAGTGGACAACATTACCAAGAAAAATCTTAATTTGTGCTCTCACTTTTCCCTTTGTAGATTACAGCTACAAATATAAACAAACTCTTCATGAATCCAGTACTTTCTGAATGTCTAGGATTTAGAGGAGGTATTGTATGAACATGCAGTGTTTTGGGGAGGCTTTTAGATTCTATTTTTCTTAACTAGATTTTTGCAAGTATTTCTTGTTGAAACAGAATCAGTTGACTTTTGAAGCTATGCAGTGGAGATCACGGTTGTTACATAGGCCCCACACGTTTGGAGCGACCTTTTAAATTATGTCTGCTTCTCCTTTCACAATTTACATGATCATTCAGGAGGTGCTAGATAATTTAGAAGATTTTCTTTCTCCTTTTTAAAGTTGTGGCATGAAACCAAGGATAAACTCCAGCTTATTATACCTTAAACTTGCTTTCTGTATTTTTATATGTTTTTGAATGTTAAGTATTTTGCTTCAGATCTTCAGGGTAGTAGACTAGAAGCAAGTGAACAAAAGATAAGATATCCCCTAAGTTGTCTTAGCGTATTCCTTCTTTAACCTCATCCTACCGCCCCTTCCTCTTTTTTTTTCCTTGGCCATTTGAATAGTTACTCTATGCTAGGCAGGTCACAAGGTACTTGTGAATACAAAACAGTGAATCCTTGTTCTTAAGCAGCACAGAGAATAGTGTGAAAATTGCGAGAAAGCGAGATTTTCATTTGTGATAGGAGGCGAGATTTTCATTTGTGATAGGAGATGTGAATTAAATTATAATGTAAGGATGTAGAAAAACTAAAAATAAGGATACTTTCATGGGCTGTAAACAATTTTTAATCCCTGCAATAGCTAATTATAGTTTTAATGAGAAGCTTTTTTGTTGTTATCCTGTTGTAAAATAACTGTTGAACAACTGTCCCCTTTACCATTGAGTCAGTTTATTTAGAATGAGGGATATCATTGATATTGTCAGATGGCTCTTGACTGAAAGCAGAGAATACCAGAAACTTGCCCATATTTTACTGATTGCAAAGACATTCGTTCAACTGCATGGATCAGCAAATTATGGATAACACTGTGAAAAAAGAGAATTCCAGAAAATGTAATTATGCTCATGAAGAAACTGTCTGTAGACCAAGAGGTAGTAATTTTAACAGAGCAAGGGGTTACTGCATGGTTTAAAATCAGGAAAATATGTATTGGGATATTCTTTCACTATACTTGTTCATTTTGTATGCTGAGCAAATATTCTAAGAAGAGGACTATCTGAACTTGGCATCAGGATTGGAGGAAGACTCATTTAACAGCCTGTGATAGGCAAATAATCTTGTTTGCTTAAAGCCACAAGAAACTGAAATATCGAGGAAGAGCAGACTGCTACAGCCTTCATTATGAATTACGCCTCAATATAAATGATAAATAGAAAATGCATTGCAGTTGTCAAGCATTTTACTTAACTTGTATCGACAATCAATGCCCTTGGAAGCAGCAGTCAAGAAATCAAGATATATTGCATTGGGCTACAAAAGAGCTATTTAAAAATGTTAAAAGCAGAGATGTCACTTTGAGGATAAATGTGTGCCTAACCTAAGCCATACTCTTTTCAGCTGTCGCATATGCTTGTGAAAGCTGGACAATGAATAAGAGTGATTGAAGAGTTGATATCTTGAATTATGTTGGCAAAGAATATTGAAATTGCCATGGACTGCTAGAACAAACAAATCTGTCTTGGAAGGTGTACAGCCAGAATGTTCCTTAGAGGTGAGAATGGGGAGATTTGTGTCGCATACTTTGAACAAGTTATCAGGAGAGATATGTCCCTAGGACACTGTGCTTGCTAGGTAGTGTTGGCAAAAAAGTGGCAGATTTTCATTGAGAAAGCATTTGCACAATGATTACAACAGTGGGTTCATTCATAACAATTATGAGGATGGTGAAGGAGTGGGTAATATTTTATTCCTTTGTACATAGGGTTACTATGAGTCAGCACGCAGCAGCAATAACAATGAAAGTTAAAGCAGTATCAATTCAGTTAAAGCAAAATGTCATTTTGTTGTATGATAATTAGATGTAATTAAGATTGGACATCCCCTCACAGAGGGGTCACAGGGCAGATGAGCCAGTCAGGGTGCAGTGTAGCACCAATGAAGCACACAACTTTCCTCTAGTTCTTTGGTGCTTCTTTTCCCCCACTATCATGACCTCAATTCTACCTGACAAATCGGATTAGACCAGAGTATGCACACTGCTACAGATAAGAGCCCGCAACACAGAGAATCCAAGACAGATAAACCCCTCAGGGCCAACAATGAGAGTAGAGATAGCAGGAGGATTTGGGGAGAGTGGGGGGAGAAGGGAGGAATCGATCACAAGGATCAACTTAGAACCCTCTCCCAGGGGGATGAATAATGGAAAAGTGGGTGAGGAGCAACAGAGGATGATGTGAGATATGAAAATAATAATCTATAATTTATCAAGCGTTCGGGAGGGAGGGAGTGCAGGAAAGCGAGGGGAAGAGAATACTTTGAAAATGATGATGGCAGCATATGTGCAAATGTGCTTGACACTGGAAGAATGCATGGATTGTGATAAGAGATGTAAGAGCCCCCAACAAAAGTATTTTTAAAAAAGATTACATTTTTTGTATTTTTAAACTTTTTAATATCTAGTCACTGCCATATGATAGTGTATCCAATTTCATTATTCTCCCTAATCTTGGATTCCATGATAAACAAATGAACTCACAAACTCCCACCCAAACGAATCTAGGATTGAAGTAATATAAATTAAGGAATTGATCCCTTCCAAGTGTCCTTTTTCTTCTTCATGACAGGCAATTGGGTCTCCAAGATTAAGCTTGAGGAAACAGAACCTCTGTGGGTCTTGAAGGTTGGATTGTCTAATTAGGATTTAAATGATTGCAGGAAAAACCAGACCTGAAATGGGGATGAAGGTATAATCGAATCATCTCTTTGAGTAGTAGGGTTGAGGGATGAGAAAAGAGGGAGAGGGTAGGGCTCAGAATAAAGGGTTACATTCTGTCCCCTTGGTGGTGGGGTGAGGCATGCTTGGCAAACACAGATGTATTAGTTGTTCATTTATTAGCTGAATACTTCTTAGCTATCTGTGATATGTTATACTCTGTGCTTAGTACTGGTCTATATTCAAGGGCAGTTTTGGTTTGTTTTACATAGATATCAAGATTTTTTGTCATTTTAAAAAACTTTTATTTATTTTTTTTAAAACAAGCTCTGGCCAGTTTTATTAAAGAAAAATATTGCAGGATTTATTTTTTCAACAGTCTGTTATGGCATGCTTCTAATCATATCAGCATCCCCGGGGTCAGTGACGGCCAGCGTGCACACCCTGTAGTACTTGCCGCACGCCATGCCCAACTCGATGTTATGGCTGCTGTAGTGATGGACACTGGTTTTGGCCAACATGGTGTAGTACTTGATTTCTGAATTCCTCAAGGCCGGGCAGTTGTTGGCCAGGATGACCAGTTTCGCTTTGCCTTGCCTGATCATCTTCAGCGTCTGCTTGTAGCCCAGCACGTACTTCCCACTTTTCATAACGAGTTGGAGCCTCAAGTTGATGGACTCCAGCGACTTTTTCCTCTTCTTTGCGGCCACCATCTTCCTGTCTTGGGTGCAGGATGGCCCCCAACCAAGAGCAGCCGCCAACATGGCTAGGACAGGAGAAAGGCTAAATTTTTATTTTTTGAGAGAGAAAAAGCTCTTGAAATGGAAGTGGGTATTAGTGTGAATGCTGGTACATACTGTTTAAATTAAATTCTTTCCCCTACTGACTATGAGTGCACCCCTATCATACCCTGGCCTCATGGTTTGGGCTGGGTGATGTGCACTGAAGCTGTGCAGACAAGGAAGTTTAAACAGAAAATTTTGAAAGCTGCCAGATAGTTGTTTATGAAGGAAAAGGAATGCTGAAGTTGAGCTTTACAGAGAGTAGACGAAAGCTAGAATTCATTGGCACAGAACTTTGTGCTTTGCATGTGGGAACCTTAACCAAACTGTGACTTTTGACCTACCTCCACTCCCAAGGTGTTATGCGGATATTATTTAGAGTTCTCTGGTAGTGAAAATAGCTGAGCGATTGACTTGGAAGAAATATGTATTGATTTTGCTACAGAAAAGAGACAAGTGTTTGTTTGTTTTTAATGTGCCCTAGGTATGAAACAGCTCTGGCCACAATCCAGGCGTCAAGCTAGGATGAACAAAGGACTTCAAGTTGGCTCTGTCCCTGACTGGTAATAAGAGCACCACCACCAATCAGGTGTCTCTTTGCCCATAGCCAGAGGGGGAGACAAGTGTTAAAGAGCACAGTTCATCTCTTTTGTGCAACTATCATGCTCTTTTTTACTTTTTTTGCCAGCCTCAATTAAGTCAGATTCCACTTTTGTTTGCTTGAAGCCTATTCACAGAACTATGAAAAAGTATGACTGGAGAGCAAGTCAGATCAAGTAACAGCAGTACTGATAGCAATATATGGTCCCACTGCAGAAAATGATGAGTAAAATCCATTTTAGCTCCTCTAGTGCCTTTTATGGATATAGTAGCTTTAATTTTGAAAATAAACGCACTTAAACACATTTGTTTGTTACTGTGTTATCTCAAATTGCTGCTGCTGTTATGTGCCATCGTGTTGGCACAAAAAAACCCTCTGCACAACAGAACACAACACTGCCCAGTCCTGCTCCATCCTCACAATTGTTCCTATGCCTGAGCCCATTGATGCAGCCACTAAATACACAGGGTTTTTTATCTCCTCACAGAGCATATTTGAGGGGCTACCCCCCAAAAACTGGAATTTTTTAAAAAGCTATTTAAATTTTTTTTATAAAACAACCATACCACTTTCAAAATACTCTCCATTACACTTAATACATCTGTCAAATCTGCGAGTCCATTCATGGAAACATTTTTCAAACTCTTTGGATGGCTGACAACACCTCCCTTGATTTTTTTTCTTCACTTCTAAGTCATCAAAACGCTACCCTTTCATGTCCCCCTTCATTCTCAAAACAAAAAGAAATCTTATGAAGCAAGGTCAAGTGAGTAAGGTGCATGGGGCAAGAGGCAGGCTGTTTTTTGTCAAAAACTGACACATTCAGATAGCTGCATGAACAGGTGCATTATCATGGTGGCAAAACCATTCCCCCATCTGCCACAAATCAGGCTTTTTTTGTCACACACTGTTAGAAGTTCCTTTCAGAACCTCTTAATAGAAAGCTTGATTAATAGTCTGACCTGGTGGAATGACTATGCAAATCCAAATGCACTATGTCGACACTTTCGTCCCTTCAGGAAGTTGATAGACATCCAGAATAAGGTTTGTCATTGATCAACATTTCACCTTTTTATGAAACGAGAAAACCACTGATACACTTGAGTTTTCCCATAGTGCTGTCCTTGTAAGCTGTGTTCAACATCACAACAGTTTCTGCAGCATTTTTCACAAGCAGGAACAAAATTTCCCATCTGCATGCTGTTCTCTCAAATCAGCCATCACCAAAAAAAACCCAAAACAACAAAAAAACGAGGTTCAAGGGAAACGGCTTTTATGAAAATATTCACTGTGACCAGAAAGGACCTTCCCAGGCGACACCACTGGATGCACTAACTCAGAACGAGTTGCTCCATTGCTTGCCTAGCAGGAAAAATGTGTAGTATGAAAGCTCTGCCTAGCCCAGTACAATTCCGTTTTTGAGGGATTACCCTGTATAGTTGTTTTCTCCTAAAAGAGGTTTTTCTAAAATTGATTACTTAGTTGTCTTATAAGATGAAATCATGATTTTATAGCTCCACTTACATGTTTCACTGTTTGATAATACAATTAAATTTGCATTTCATTTTAGTTTGATTGTAGCTCTCCTTGTTTCATGTGAAATAATTTTCTGTCTCTTCGGTGTTAGAGCTTGATTGATTTCTCTACATTATAGTAATTTAATGATGCTTCATTTAATAAAAGAGCCTGATGGTGCAGCTGGTTAAGCATTAGGTTGCCAACTACAAGGTCAGGGGTTCTAGCTCACCAGCTCTTCTGTACAAGAAGATGAGGCTATCTATTCCCTAGATATTTATAGTCTCAGAAACCCTAAGGAACAGTTCTACTGTCTTTTAGGGTCACTAGCATTAGGAATTGGTGGGAGCGTCCTCATGATGCAGTGGTTAAGTGATCAACTACTAATTGAAAGGTCAGCAGTGTGATTCCACCAGCTTCTGAGGGAGAAAAATGTGGTGGTCTCTTCCTTAATTGTGCCCCAAGAAGACCTGTGGAACAGTCCTACTCTGAGTTCTCATTATGAGTTACATGAACTTGTGGTAATTGATGTTTTGTATGGAATGTTACATAGACCGGGACATTTAATACTTAGTTCAGCAATGTATTTAGTTCTACAGACGTTTATTGAACATCTATTTACGAGTACAGTTATCCCACCACATGCATTATTTAAAGCAGGGGTACTCAATACGTCAATCACGATCTACTGATAGATTGCAAATGTAGTGTGGGTAGATCGCGTGGCATTAAAAAAATAGATGTAAGCCTATAAATCCCGTCATGTAATTGATATACAGTGCAGCCAATTAGATGCAGTCTTAGGTGCCAAATGCATGTGCAAACAACTGCGCTAAGTGCAGCAAAACTGACAAGTTAAGTTGTCACCAATTTTTAGACCTTGGTTTTTTTCTCTTAAACGTAAGAAAGGGTATTAAAATGAGTGGGGGAGCTGGACCAGGTAAGAAGACAAAAATGTATAACTTTAATACGGAATGGGAGATTTTGACACTACAAGCTGAAGTCCAGAGTGCATGAACAGTTCTGGAATTTACTCGCAGAAGGAAAGGACCCAAACATGAGAAAATGTGCTACCTTCTTGACTGCATTATTCGGTTCTACTTATTTATGTGAGTCAACCTTTTCTCACATAAAGATCATTAAGTCCAAGTACCGTTCCACCATGACTGCTGATCATTTGGATGTGTGCTTGAGGCTGGCTGTCAGCAGCTACTGTCTGGACTATGCATATCCTGGCTCATTCCATTCAGTGCAAGTCATCAGAGTAAACTCAGATAATGACAAAAAATGTTCATAGTTAATTGTGTTGTGCAATATGGACTCATGCGGTTGTGCAAGATACATAAACTTACATTGTACATATAAAGAATTCTCCC